GGACACATATACCAGGGCATCCAAAGCACAAGGACACATATACCAGGACACAGGAGTGAATCGTCAACAAGCCTGGCTCCCAGTACATTTCAGCAATGCCCAAAATGCATAGCTTTTGTGTTTTCTTTCCTTTTCAGAATACACTGGCTTGGGGACAAAAGGTGCCCGAGTCTTTCAATGCTCCACTCTAAAGCACCACAAGAGGCAAAGGCTGAAGCAGGGCGATGTCTTCAACACCAGAAGGGACCACGGGGCAAGCATAGCACTTTCCTTGCTGTTCCAGAGACAGGAGTGAAGCAGAAGGGGGTGTTCTAGATGCACACTGTTGCCGGTAGGTGCTCCTCTCCAAGGGGCTGTCACTCTGTCATCGTAGCATCGCAAAGCCCAACAGATCCTGTGCTAGGCAGGTGGCCACAGAATGCGACCCTCTAAGACTAGGAGATGGGACAGCCACAGCCTCCCTGCCCTGCTCACCGCAGCAGCAGCTGGCCTGCCCTGAGGAAAGTATTTCCATTGCTCCCCTGTCACACAAGGGACAGGGATACCTAGGCTGGGGAATTTAAAACCAGGGGCCTGAGGCCCTAATGACTGAAGAAGTTTCCTGGAAACTGAGGCCCAAGCCCACAGAGCAAAATAATGATGGAATTTGTTTTAGAAACTAGAACTCTTGAATCCAGAACCTTCTATTCCAAAATGTGCTGCAGGCACGAGCTTTCTGTCAGGCACTGTATAAATTTTAGAAATGCAAATATTGATCTCATTGTCTCCGAAGTGAGGAGAAAGCCATCATTAGAAACCTGTAATTTGGCCAGGTGAGGTGGGGATGGGAACACCTCTCTTGCTGGCTCTCTGGGCCCAAGTCATTCACAGCACCGGCAGCTACAGAGAGACTGTAAAGGTAAAGACACTGGTAACGTCCCTTGGGAGTTGGTGGGCACAGCATGATGGGGGCTGGGGCACAGGAACCAAGTCCAGCCACAACAGAAGGCAAGCCGGACGCTTGCCAGCACTGGACAGCAGTGTTAGTGACCATGCCGCTCTTCCACCTGGCAGATTCCAAGGTACAGCTAGAAACTAGAGGACAAGAGTGTGTGTGATTCTAGGGGAGCTAAGTCTCTATTTCCTGAAATCACACTGCACTCTATATCATCTGGCACCCTTAAGAATTCAGCAAAGACGGGGCAGCAAGACTTCCATCCTTTGGGTGGGAAAGCTGAGAATTTATTACTGTCCTAAGGTCCTTCAAGCTGAAGTGTCTGAGCTAAGAGTCAAAGCCACTTCTCTGGGCTGAGTGTAGGCCAGAGGCACAGTACTAGCCTGCCATGGGCATGGCCCAGAGTTCCATCCCCAGAACAACACACGGCAGCAAAAAGCTAAAACTAAAAAATAATCAGTTAAAAAAAATCAAAGCCCCCTACTTCACTTTGTTTCTCTAAAACTCTGAGTGTTGGGCTGGTAAGTGAGCTGGAGAGTGTGGCTACAACCGAAACGGAGACTGCCTGTCTGCCAGCAGCGTGGCAAGCGGCACGCTGAACTAAGTCAGGAGAATAGACCTGAAGCAGGAAAGAGGACCGACCCTAAGACAGTCAGACCTTGCTCTTCCCCCGTGATGCCTGGGGCAGAAATAGGAAGTCTATATATCTGGGAGGACCACTGTGTTCTGGGAACCACCGTCTGCCCTTCCTTCCAACC